AACAGGGCTCTGGAAGTGGCACATCAAACCTTTGACTTCTTTCTATTCCTTCATGAATTAATATATATATATATATATATATATATATATATATATATATATATATATATATATATATATATATATATATACACTTACACACACATACATACATAAAATGTAACAGCAAAATTGTCCAAATTGCATAACAGCATAATTATCCATCGCACACAATGTTTAATATCTTAAAAAAAACACAAAACTGAGTTTCTTTTTTGCCAGGTTTTCAGATAAGACGTTTATCCATCTTAACACCATTTGTCATAAGAATCACTGAAAAACCCCTTGAGTTATTCAGGTAAAAAGAGAGCAGGTTAAAACTGTTTCATGTCAGGCATACTGTCTTCCCAACTGAGCAATGTTGAGTGGAAAAAAATCATTCAGGCCTTCAGTAATGGTACCAACATTCATACTCTGGCTTCCATCTTCAAAGTCCATTCAAGAGCCATCAAGAGAACAGTGAATGTTTAAAAAAGAGGGAATAGTAGAGATGAAAACTGGATCAGGAAGTCACAACAGGAAGAGGAATCATCATTTCAATTTAGAGCTAGAGAGATCAATTAGAAAAGTTCCAACTCAATCCATAAGACGTTTGGCATGTGAGAGAGGAGTTTCAACTATGATAGTCCAAAGAACAGTGAAAAAAACTTGAAAATGAAATCATACATGAAACCTGTTAGGTACCTTGTTACACCAGGATAGAAAGTTAGAAATTTAAAGAGGACAAATGTCATCTTGAATAAGTTGGAAAATGATCCTCGAATAAATATATATATATATATATATATATATATGAACTTAATCCTCAGCTATGATTAATTAATGAAAAACATATCATTTTCGTTTATGATCAATTTCATCACGATACTTCTGTTAAGCTTAGGGCGTAATTATACATTCTTATTGATCAAATTAGCATCCAATAGTATTAAAAAAAAACTCATAATTCCAGTAAGATATCTTTAATCATTTCTAAGATACAATGGTTCAGAGCTTAATCTAACAAGTTTGCTGTTACAATTGAGAGAGAGAGTTCTGTTTATGTCACTATGTATTAGGAACATTTACTTTTTACTAACATCCATTCAAAAAGATTTTTGATTATGATGGGGACAGCTGTCACATCTCGTACATTTTTTATTAGATTACATAGCAAAACAGACTGGACTCTCTGGGCTAGGATGATAGTCCATTCCCACCACCATAAAACACTTGAAGGGACAGTATCAAAAATTAATCCTTAATACCTGATCATGATCACAAGTCCTGTAACCCATTAGGATCATAGGTACATCACATGCACTACAGCAGTGGTGTTCCCTGGGCAAGACACTCTGACAGAAGCTACTGCTCCCCCAGTCTAGACAGGTTGCTAACCAAGGCTATAGTCTGTCCTGTTATTTACTAATCAATTGCTCTGTCATTTATGTAAACTCTAAGTAATCCAGTTGATAAGTTTGGGTGAATGGCAAAACAAGAATAGAGTTGATAAAGAGGCAAAAGATAGGAAGTTGTGGAGAGCCATGTTGAAAAAGTTTGCAAATTTTAGGGTTTCATGCATAATAAGTGTTTCAGCCTAGTGGATTGAAGCATTGGTTTGTGAATTTGGTGAATAGAGTAATTGTGAGTTCAATCCTTGGGTCATGTAGTGTGTACGGTGGAAACTGAGAAATAACTAAGCTGTACTAAATAAGAACTAGGTGAGATATCCCTAAACATGGGCAGTGGAATGAGAACAATCTACCCCATAGATTAAATAATGGGTTTAGTTCAAAATCAAGATAGCACAGCAGTTGAAATGTTGTGATAATAACAACAAAGATGAAGACAGTAGTCTGCATGTAAATAATGATAACACCTCATCCCAGAATTCAGGCAGGAATATTGGTTGGTCTTTAACTTTTGTCTATGACTGTACATAAGTTGTCAGTAACATGAGATATTGCAGTTCAAAGTCTCATGTAAAGCTTCTTTTTCTTTCAAGTTTTCTTTCAATAGCTAAAAAAACAGATCAGCTAAAACCGATAAAAAAGCAACAAAAAATAGGATAGCAACTCTTGTCTTCTAGAGAATCCATTAATTTGAAATTCTTCTTTGTAGAATTGCAGTTGTTAAAACAGTGCTTCATCTATTCCATTTCTGTAAGAAAGAGCTATTCTTCATTCTCACAAAAGACACCTGTTGAGGGCTGAGGAATCAATCAGTCAAAATGTGATGTGAACAGCAATTTGACAAAGAAAAAAATTCAAGTGTTTAACCAACGTTGAGTATAAGAATCAACCAGTCAACACTAAAGCTAAGATAGATATAATACTGGTCAGGGTCAGGTCAGCTATATATTTTGTATCTGACCAGTGTTGGATATAGGAATCAACCAGTCAGTAATTGAGGCTCAGATAGATATAATACTGGTCAGGTCAGCTATATATTTTGTATCTGACCAGTGTTGGATATAGGAATC